ACTGGTCTCTCTGCTGGTCACTATATAAAAATATATGTACGACACGATTGTCGGTAAAGCTGTTACAGTCATTTTGAGCCGTCAATGAGGTGTGTTGGACTCTCCATGCTTTCAGGATTAAACGATTTTTGCAGATATATCATGTTGCCCGAACGTAGGGAGTGTAATATTCATCATGACTATCGTAAAGAACCATTACAATATTCAAGGACACCCACAAATACGACAGTAGCTATAGCTTCGCTACATGTTTCATGTCCATAACAACATGATTAGCGTGCATGCGTGATTATTTTTCTGTTAGGAGGTACTCATGTAAAAAGGGCCTGAACAACAGGGTTTTACCGTAAATGACCGCGGGTGACCCCAAGTCGAACGCCGTTCGGTTCAAATTGCGTCATATCGAAAACGATTCGGATTCTACAGCAGACTATTATATCATCACGACATGACGGCTTACACTGGAACAGTAACTTCTTAATAGATGATTATACAATTACCCCAGACCGGGTAGTGATGTTCAATTTACTATGTAGGTAGCTTAAGTGATGCATGGCGTGATTGTGGAAATTCCATAAATCTGCTCTATTCAGTGATCGGAATATTTGAAGGTGTGATGGTTGAGTTGTACAAATTATGCAAATAATCATGCGGTATATCCCCGCAAGAGGCGGTATTAATCCGACCAATGATGATCAATGAATAAATTACCGAATTCTGAATTGTTTAAGAGGGTGGGTGTTATCGTAGACCAAGCGAAAATCTAGAGTCCCGTTTTCTAGTTTACGCCAACCTACGCTATACATGATGTAAGGCTTTCACTTTGCCATCTTGAACTAAGGTTGAACTAAAAGCCATTGGTATCTTGGCCCATGCTATCCCTTAAAAACAAAATAAACACACGCCTGCTGGAACTGTCACGGATTTCCGCTGGTGTACCGGGTACGGCTGACAGCTTCATTTTCTCCAATGAAGGTTCCTTTCCCCAAAGGCCGCACACGTGTTTCCTTGGGACTGTATGTTACTTAGTCAGCCTATTTCCTAATTATAATTAGGGTCTCATTCATGAGTTTTTTCCATACATTAGAAACCATGCATTAATGAGTGACTTACGAGACCGTGTTCCCTATGATCCTACATTAAATCAATCGATATCTTTCATGCTATGTTGAGCACACGTACTCTACATCTCATAAAAAAATTGCCAACGACTTCTATACACACAATCCCCTTTTATGGGAAATACAAACTGCACCTAGTGGCTGCCCGCAAGAGGCCCTCCCACGGTGCAAACCTACGACCGCACAACTCACAACACTGGACTGTGCACGTCCGACCTAGCGCGCGGCTGCCGACAATTACGTCCTAATTTCATCAGTTACAAACAAGCTTTCACCGCTTTGACGTTTTACATCAGTTGGGATGGCTAAAAGGGAAATTCTCACCAATAAAAACACGCGTTCATACAGCCGCTTAGTTTTTGACTTGGCACTCTTTTAGGGGGTACACTCGGAGTAATACATGAATGAGACCTTAATAACCATTGATTATTAATAATTGTGTCTTAAATGAAAGAATATACATCCCCTAACAATCTCTGGGAAAGGTTTTGTCTCACGTCACTCCGTTACCAAGCAACGGGTCAATAAAGTTGCGTCAAAATTTTGATATGAGCAGCGCCACCTGGCAGTCTGAAATAAAAGTACAACAGATATCTTAATTACCCTTATGACGTGTCGGAAACAGTAATTTATTGTTTTTTCGTTCCGTTGGGTAGATTAATGTGTTCTGTATGACATTGTTTGCCTGTAAACCTGAATAGACAGCAAGTGATAGATCTGAACGATGCTGATCATTTGGTGTATGCTGGCAAATGAGACGTAGCATCAGTAAGGACATTGATGTGCATGTCGCATCAGGACACGCCCATAAAAGCGAAAACATCGACATTGCACAAACAACAGTAAAGCCAAACATATACACGTGCTAAAATTTGAACCCGAGGTAAGAGAGATAAGTGACATGCTGCTGATAGTGCATCTAGCGCACTCTAAAAGTCAGCCTAGGCGGGAATGGGGGAGTGGTTTACAGAGGTGACGCAAGATCCTGCTTACAAAAATGCGAGGCAACTTCGGTCAATAGTACCCTTTCTACTTGTTGAGAAGAATAAAAGGCAAAAAGAGGCCAAATTGACCATAAACTATCACTCAGAAATGAAGGGAAGTCCAGACAGCGTTCTTACCACAGAGCAAAACAGAAACTTTTCCAATGAAAGTTACAGTAATGCTTTGGCATAATATATCCCTTCTCACGTAAGTAGAAATCCACTAAATCTAGTCGTATTTTGCAGTCTGGAAGTCTGGGGGATACAAATTCACGTCAGCTGTAGCGTGTCAGGTG